GGAGGGGCAAACCCCCGACTTGGGTTCACCCGAAGGGACTTGGGGGCGAGCGGCAGGCCTCGGTTCCCGAGGGAAAACCCCGGCGCTAATTCCGAAGCTCGGGGGGAGCTGAAGGTTGCGCCTTCTCCGGCAGCCAGACCGCCTGAGCCCGCGGAGTCGACCCCAGGTTCCGAGAGCGCGTCCTGCGCCGGCCAAGAGGGCCCCTGCTCTGCCTCCCGCGAGGGGCGCGGGGGCGGCTGGCACTGCCGCCCGCCCCGCAGCCCAGGGCGGTCTGGCGCTCGGCTCCGGGCCCGGCGCCGGGCGTGGGACGGCCCGGAGGCTCCCCCGACCCTGTGAAGGGTCTTGTTGGACCGAGAAGAGGCGCGCAGGGCACTTAGCACAGATTTTGCACGAGCCGGGTTTGGGGCCACACGGAGAAAGAGTGGGTGTTGGAAACCAGGCGCTCTGGGTCAGGCATGTCGGAGAGGGAGGAAGGCACGGGCCACACTCACCCAGAACTTGTAGTCGGGTCTGGCCGGATCCCAGGTTTTCGTTTTGCTTAAAAAAAAAAAAAAGTATATATATATATAAAATTTATTTTTTATTGATTTCAGAGAGGAGGGGAGGGAGAGAGAGAATCATCCATGGCTGCCTCCTCCACGCCTCCCACCGGGGACGGAGCCCGCAACCCGGGCATGTGCCCTGACCAGGAATCCACCCGTGACCTCCTGGTTCCTAGGTCGACGCTCAACCACTGAGCCCCGCCGGCCGGCGGCTGTTTCTGTTTTGTTTGTGAAGTGGGGCTTGCGGGATCGAATTAGGAGTGTGTCCGATCCCCTCCGACCCGCCGCTGGCTCTGGCGGTGGAGGCTCCGCGGGTGGAGGCTCTGGCGGGTGGAGGCTGGCGGGCAGGAGCCTCGGCGGATGGAGGCTCTGGCGTGGAGGTCCGGCGGGTGGAGGCTTCGGCGGGTGGAGGCTGGCGGGTGGAGGTCCGGCGGGTGGAGGCTCCGGCGGGTGGAGGCTATGGCGGGTGGAGGCTTCGGCGGGTGGAGGCTC